TTTTGGAGAGGTTTTTGCTATAGGGCGCATGTGCTGGCCAGGAAGACAGAGAGAGACAGAGAGACAGAAAGCGAGAAGGCCATGTCACAATCCCTTCTCCTCCATTCTCCACTCAGGATCTTGGGCACACACGCACACACACCCGGAATGAGTTTGAGCCACTGGGTCTGGGACTCGAACTGTGGTTGACTACATGTGAGTCCAGCAACATAGCCATTACGCCAACTGCTGGTCCCGTCTTCTTTCAGATTTTACAGTTCAGTTTGGGCCTGGCTTATTCCCCATTAATTTCTAAAAAGAAATTTAGGAACCTGAGAGAGAAGGACCTGAGAATTTTGGTCCCATAGAAAGAAATGCACTTCCCAGGCACTCTGGAACTTTCCAGCCTCATGGGCCCCTGATCCTGGGACCTCACAGAGGAGCAGGGAAATCACCCCCAGGTGGAGCTCCTGCAGGGCAGAGGCAGCCCTGGGAACCTGCCCACCCTGGTCCGGGGCTCTGGACTCCAGCAGGCGTCCCCTCCCCTCCCTGCAGCTTCTCTCCTGCCCTCCCCTGGCCAGGTCCCTGCAGGTGCTGCTGCAGCACAGGCTCCCCACATTGGCTCCAGATGTAATGGGGTGGGAGTCGCACCTCCCTCCAACCCCCCGGGGAGACCCTGAGGTCAGAGAGAGGAGCCCAGACCTCTTAGCCTGCCGGAGAGCTTGTTCCTGCTGGATCTAGCGACGGCCACAGCTGTAGTGACCAGAATTGGAAGGATCACAAGTCCAAGGACCACAGCAAGGGTGGTGGCTCCAGGGAGTTTCTGGCCAACAAATGACCCCGGGATGTTGAGGTGAGAAGGCGGCTCTGCAAAGAGAAGGGAGGTGAGGGCCTTGACCCCCAGGCCTCAGTCCTGTCCCTGCTGAGGTCTCAGGAAGGGCTCCTGCTTTCCCTGACAAGAGCTCTGAGCCCCCCTTACCCCATCTCAGGGTGAGGGGCTCAGGCAGCCCCTCGTGCTGCACGTGGCACGTGTATCTCTGCTCCTCTCCAGAAGGCACCACCACGGCCGCCCACTTCTGGAAGGTTCCGTCCCCTGCAGGCCTGGTCTCCACCAGCTCCATGTCCTGGGTCTGGTCCTCCCCATCCCGCTGCCAGGTCAGGGAGATCTCCGCAGGGTAGAAGCCCAGGGCCCAGCACCTCAGGGTGGCCTCCCGGTCAGAGGTGGGGTGGTGGGTCACGTGTGCCTTCGGGGGGTCTGCGGGGAAGAGTCGGGAAATTCAGACATGGTGCAGCCCCCCCACTGCCCAGGAAGCAGCCCTGTGTGACCATCTGGGTGCAGACACGACACCTAGAGTGGGGAGGGGGCCCACTAAGCCTGGGCTCAGGTGTCTAGGGGATATACTCCTTGGAAAGTTGTGGATTCAGGGTGAACAGCACCAGGTAGGGTGAAAACAGGGACTTTGGATCTGATGTGGATGGAATAAGCGGAGTCAGCTCTCAAACTCTTGGTGTAAGGCAGAGAACAAGGCCTGAACGGTTGTGAAGGACAAAACGTCGGCCAGAGTCGCAGTGCACTGCAGATGAGGGATTTCAGGACTGTTCCCGGCTCTACTGTGATAGACTGGACCCCTTCACTGCCCTGAGAGAAGGGGGAGCTCTCTGGGACAGACCTTTTCTGGTGCAGGATCTGAAACCAGGACTCCCCTCCAGATGCTAGGCAGCTTTATTCTGATGTGAACCCCACTTTCTTCCCTTCCGTGTGGGACAGCAGCCCCAGCAGGACAGGAGATCAGGGAACCCCCGCGGCCCCTGGTACCTGCACGCAGCAGCGTCTCCTTCCCGTTCTCCAGGTAGATGCCCAGCCACTGCACGCACCTGCCCTCCAGGTAGGCCCTGACTTGCTCCGCCCAAGCAGCCGCCTCCCACTTGCGCTGGGAGATCTGCGCTGCTGTGTCCGCCGCGGTCCAGGAGCGAAGGTCCTCGTTCAGGGCGATGTAGTCCCAGCCATCGTAGGCGTACTGCTCGTACCCGCCGAGGAAGCGCCCGTCCGGCCCCACGCCGCAGCCGGACATGCTCTG